TTATTGACTGCAATTGAATTAAAGAAATTCTCAAAGGAATAAAAAATGTATTAATATTTTATGTTTATGATTTAAAAAAATGACAGATCGCCGTTGAACGGGTGAATATACTGAATTTACACCGATCGAATTCGTAAATACACGATCAATCTAAAAATAAATATTTTCTTTTCTTTCTTACACTCCAGATATAAAAGGTTTTGTTCATTTATAAATGTCACATGTGAAGGTATGGAAACCCGCTGGCATTTAGGAATGAAAATCATATGACTCGGCTTTATTGATCTGATTTACGACCGCATTTTGTAAATAAAAGTGTGAATCAGCCTGTATTTTGCGTTTTACCTTCTCCATTGCACGTGGTCGGACCTCTTTTTGACTCTTGACTATAACATTATCTCATCGTTTTTCCCAGAAATCGTAGGATTTTTGAACATAATACAGAATAGGTATTATTTGTGAATTTTGTTTTTCTGTTCAAGGGTTTCGGCTAAAGTATTGCGTTGGTGTTGGAGATGGACGAACTTATATTGGCACAAGTAGGGCGCTATTTTTATGCCTGTTTTGCATTCAGTCTCAACTGTGCTGTAGCTCGCTAGGCTGATTACTTCAAACGGTCAGAGGTTCCTCCCATTCCGATCTTAGGGAACTTAACTCTCCTTTCCCCAAAAGCCAATAAAAATATTGTTACTCGTAAATAATTGAGGGAGACCGAGTTTATCCCATCACAAGTATCTTTGGGTTACTTTCTGGGAAGCTATGCCAACTTAAACTTGTATAGAACTGTATGATGCCTTGTGTGGGTTCGTCCAGTAAATGCTTGTTGTGTTGCATGATAAAAAAAACTAAAACTTTTTTTTAAATAATTTGTGGTAGGACATTCGTAGATCATTAACAAGACTTGTATACAAATTCAAATACAAGGTCGAGTTCGACGATGTTCAAAATTCTAGGGTTCAATGTAATCTAACGAAAATTACCCGAAAATTCTTTGTGATATCGGTGCCGGTGTAATGTGTCATGAATAAGCATTAAAAACGATGTCAATAGCTGTCATAGTTACTGAGTTAAACTGAAACGTTACTCATCAACGTAATTGCTTTTTGCCAAAGAAACCTTGAATCAATTGTTTGGTATAATGAATGGAAGGAATTTCGATACCTATTACTGAAATTATAGTCACAGTTATCTAAAGCAAGTTTTTAGTTCGGTAATGGACGATTTAAGTTTCAAATCATAAATATGTTAAGCTCGTAACTTGACAATTCAAAAACATAACCTCAAAATCTGTGATTTAAATAAATCGTGTGACAAAAGAAAAAAAATGAGCACTACTTTTTTTTTTTTTCTATTTTCTTTATGTATGTTGCGCATAAATAATTATATAAATAATTTAATAAAAAAAACATTATTATTTTCATTTAATTTCTAAGTAACGGAGTTACAGCCTTTAATGGAGTGAGTGAGAGAGGAGACCGGTGTCTGATAGGGGATTAAAATGGCGGTAACAAAACACCAGGTAAACATGCGTGGTAAAATCTTCGTCTATGCTTTTTTTCGCGGCGAATAAAAAGCTTGAAGTAGATATCTAGTCTATCTTAAGACTTCCTGAATCAGAAGTGGGCTGGAGTATAACGGTATGGGTGCTATATCATCATCATCATCATCATCAGCCTATAAGTGCCCACTGCTGAGCAATGGCCTCTTCTCACACGGAGAAGGTTTGAGCATTAATCACCACGCTTGCTCAATGCGGGTTGGCGATTTCAAACTTATAATTATAAATTATAAGTCCAGGTTTCCTCACGATGTTTACCTTCACCGTATATCAGTGGTGTCTAAATAATCCTAGAAAGTACATATAACTCGGAAAGTCACATTGGTACTTGCCAGGTTTCGAACCCACACCCTCATGCATGAGAAGCGGGCTCCTCAACCTCCGGGCCACCACGACATTCACGGGTGCTATATGTGCGTGTACAATTGTGGACAAAAGCTATTTATAAACAAAATAAAATGAGTACCTAGCATGACATTTGAAGCTGCAGGTGATGGATAACCTTTCAATATTCGAAGTTAGTTAATATGAGAATATATTTATTACGACCTACGATAAAAGGTGAAATGATTAACACTTTCTGTTGATTCACTGTCGAGTGCACGGTTGGCGCAGTGGCTAGACAAGTGTCTACTGTGTAACGTATCGCGGGTTCAATACCAGCACGGAACAACACAATGTGTGATCAACAAATTGTTGTTTCGGGTCTGTTTGGCTTGTGTATGTGAGTTTGTATGTTTTTGTTAACGTGCCCACGACACAGGAGAAAATCCTAGCGTGCTAAACTTTATTTGAGTCACGTTAAAAAATAGTTCAATAACCATTATTTAGTTTTTCAATGGACCTTGGTTAGTACTACAGTCGAGTATAGTAATCTATTCGTTGATTTACGATACGAAGAGCACTTAAGGTCAGTCTAGACCCTAGATCACCTTCAGGTATTTTCAATACACTTATATTTTTAATAGACACGTTCTGAGAGGCATTCAGTGCAAAATATGGCGACACTTATCGCATGCAATAAAGTATTTCTCACAACTATTTAATATTCAATTGCTATTTCATTCTTTGTTCATAAATTTTAAGTGTGGGAGGGATGTGCTTCAGCACACATGGGCCGGCTCGACCGGAGTGATACAACGGCCTCACAGAAAGCCAGCGTAAAACAACCACAGCGTTGTGTTTCGCCGTGTGATTGAGGTTACCGGAGGCCCAATCCTTCCCCTCCCCCAATCCCTAAATCTCCAAAGGTCAGCAACGCACTCGTAACTCGTCCGTTGCAGGTGTCCATGGGTGGCGCTGATTGCTTACCATCATACATAAAAAAAAGTGATACAACGGCCTCACAATACCAGTGTGATGTTACCGGAGACCCAATCCTTTCTTCCCCGTCCTCAATCCTCAATTCCGTCCGTCATCCTTTCCTTAGTCCCTGAAGAGGCTGGCAACGCATTTTTAGTAACTTCTTTGATATTACGAGTGTCCATTGCGCGGCGCTGATTGCTTACCACCAGGTAATCCATCAGCTGTTTTACCGACATATGACACAAAAAAAAACTTTATTATCACCATTATTAATTACGTACAATGAGAATGATGGTTAATAAATTCGTCTATCTGTCTGTTTGTCTAAGTATGTAGGCAATTCATTCTAGTATTCACAAGGCGTAATATTTCTTATTGCAGATGTGACCTAAATATGCAAGAGTTAGTAATTCAACAATTTATGATAGTCGGTGTTGTGTTTGTAGCGTATTAAAAGCGAAGAGGAAGCTATGCGTGCCTGGCTATACAATATACATATATGCAGACTGAAGACACACGATCCAGTACATTGGCATTACGAAATCACCTCTATATAATGTTTAATTTATGTAATGATTATAATATGTTTCATCCAAGAAATAATAGAAAAAAAGTTTATTCAATTTTTTCTACATTTTATTAAATACAGAGTGAGGATGCGAAGTGTAGGTCATTTCTTTCATATTTTCACACAGTTAAATTATAATTCCAGACCTTGTGCTCATTTTGAATTTATAATTACAACCTGTTTTAGTTTACCCTCGTGAGATACCTATGTAAAATTCATAATAATGTTCTACGGCTTACTTACGTAACTGTGTTGACGAGATAACTCGACTAGTTTCAAGCCACGCTAGGGGCTCATATTCATAAGCAGTATTGCGACGCGATGAACGTTGCTCAGCTAACACCAATAACAACAGTCGCCGTGTATGACTTTGGCAACGTTTGAAGCTTTGATTCAAATTACGATGAACTGATGGACTTGTTCAATATAACGCGTTAATCAGAGAACATTAAAATAAGTCTCTCTTGTTTGGTCCGGATTGGGGAATTTGGTACACTTGTTTTTTAGTCGCGACTCTTATATTTATAATTATATAATGTGCCTGATAGCTTTCTATGTAAGCTATAATGTATTACGTTGGGAACTGCTGTAAGAAAAGTAAACCTTTTGGCAGTTGTGTTATGGGTCGTTAGCTTCGTTTGATATTTAAGGAAATGCATTAGATAGAGTTAAAAGGTTTAAGGACATAATATGTTAATATTTAGCTTTCAAACGCCAACGAATTTTTGGCGTAAAGCCATTCTGTATTTTATGTATAGGTAGCAAGTTTAGCTGATATCTCATCTCAAATTATTTTTGCTATAATTAAGCCCATTTTCTGTATTGAGAAAATCAATAAATGCTTTACCCCGCCCTGGATGTGTCGAGAGGGAATTTCAGATTCTCAAGATACACCATTGAAGAATATTTCGAAATTTAATAGACCAATCACACTTTAACCAAACCTTGAATTGAATCTGTGCGCGTGCCTATGATATGGGCCAATGAGGTCAATGAAGCATGTAATTGATTAAGTCTTAATTGTGAATAATGATATTTGTTTGGGCTTGAATAAAACTTTACTCTTACCAGGATTTCCTCTGGCGTCGGTGTTTTAGTTGCGTTTCCAAGTAAAACAATACAATCAACCTTTTTTATAGTCTGGGAGGCAAACGAGCAGACAGATCACCTGATGTTAAGTGATCAGCGCCGCTTCTAGACATCCGCAACAGCGTCTCCGGCCTCTTAAAAAAGGAGTACACAAGTTTCTTAGTTGTTTGAAGGTCGTATCGTTTCGGAAATACCGCCACCGGAAGATCATGTCAAAGTATTGATTTCATTCTTAGCCTATAAGTGTCCATAGCTTAGCTTAAAGAGAACCTATGAAAGTTAAGACCACGCTTGCTTAAGGCGGATTCTTGGTTATAAACTTACAATTACAAATGATTAGTTTAGATTTCTTCACGATGTTTTCTTTCCTCTTATGTTAATTGTATCTTAGAAAATATATAACTTGAAAACAGTCACATTAGTTACCAGGTTTTCAATCTCATGCATTATAGGCGGCTTAACTTTTAAGCCACCGCGAAATACATTTAATGTAAGATTGATTTATCTTGTTAACGTTTGAAACATGGCAAAAGTAAATAAAAATTCTGATACAGTTTTAATTAAAATGTTATTTCAAAAGTCCTCATCTGAAGCTGTCTAAATGTACTTCGAATTTATTCTGGAAGGCTGTCCGAGTCGTTATTTCTGATTTTATGTTAGAAGGATTAAATACACATTGTAGGAAAAGAACAATACAATTTTCGCGTCTGAATTATTAATCTGGCAACGGCGCGCTTCTACATTTTAACGTACCAATACGTTACAAATAGTAAGTATTTTACATTTTCGATTTCACATTTTCTGGATGAGTTTCTCGAAAAACTTTCTCTTTTAACAAACTTTCGTATAGTTTGGAAACTGTTGGGTATTTACTGATGTCCAGTGCGTGCCTGAAAAAGATAAAAAGTACATTAAACACTTTAACTAGAATACATAGTATATGCTTTTCAATTCAAACTTTTCTTGAACGTAAATCTTGATATTGAAGAAATTGAATGTCAATATACGTTGATCTTTGTGGCAAAGAATGGCTATGACCTTATATGCTTAGTTGATAAAATATTATCTATGGAAAAAAGTAAGTAATAGAATGATAACATAGATTGTTAGCTTTATGTCTCGCGGCAATTTCGAAGGACGTGGTTCGCGAGCCTACCTACCTCGTAATCTACCCCAAGTTATTAAAATATACATTATAATTGTTATGCTTGTTGAATGAAATATCGCGTACCTACATTTTTGCAGGAAATAATTACCGCCGTTTACCTATCCGTTTCGTTTAGAAACATTATCTTCCAAAATGAAGGAGGTCCTTGACTTTAATAACTTGGAAAATTTTCTTTTTCCATATTTATGTGTAAGTATGATACTTTCATATCCTAAGAATAAAAATAAGAAAATATTTTTTTAACCTTTAAGAATATAATTAAATCCCCAATTATCTTTGAATAGTAACTATCGTGAGTTATACCTAGTAAATTTATTGAAAATAAAAGTACTTGCTCCCGTGTATTAAATATGAATAGCTCTACTAGTTTCAAATCACAACGGGACTCTTATTCACGAGGAGCGTGCGCGTCGCGGTGACGTCACGCAGCCAACAGTATTTTATTTTCAATATACCCCACAATTTCTTACCTTGTAACAGCATTATACAGTTGCGGCACAAAGCACAAATCAGCCAACGTGATCTGATCTCCGACGCAACATTTTCCCGAAGTTTTCTGCAGAAGATCTTCCAAAGTCTTTAAGCCACGGTCAGTCCAGTATTTGGTGAACTTGGTGTATTGTTCTGTAGTGTCGAAGTGAGATCTTAAACCGATATTCTGTAATGGCTGGATGCCGGAGACCACCGCCTGTTAAATATTTTTTGACCTTTAGCGTGCGTTTCATCATCATCATCATCATCATATCAGCCATAGGACGTCCACTGCTGAACATAGGCGTCCCCCATTGACTTCCAGATAGGCCGGTTAGAAGCGACCTGCAGCCAGCGGCTTCCTGCGACCCATCTGTCCACCTTAGTCAGTTCTACGCGCTATATGCCCTGCCCATTGCCACTTCAACTTACTAATCCGCTGAGTTATGTCGGAAACCTGCGTGCATTTACTTTTATTTAAAATTATGTTCATACAGTAAAAAATATCTCCCACCATCTATCTTCTCTATTTACTTTCATACTTATTACTGTGAGAATTAGACCAATAGCATAGGGTAAACCTGGCAAATGTGCCCCACAATTCGAAAAATTGAAATAAAAAATGGTGGTGTTTAAAACAAGTTTATTAAAGTGTTTAGTCTTAACCTCTGACTCAATAGGTATAACAAAAACAACAAAAAAACTTCTCAAAAGTAATTAAAATAGCTGAGATCAACGATTTCTTAAAGTCTAGGGTGGGGCACATTACACGGATACATCAGTCATTTGTGCCCCAGTGAATTTTATAGGGAAATCCGAAGGATGTCCTAACTCTGAAGGTCTCTCTATATGTTGCTTGCTATCCCAGCCTTTCAGGATATGTCTATGATCTCATTCAATTCTTGTTGGTATTTCATATGTGCGGCTAGCTTCATTAACTCCCATTTTCTTGCTTACGACATCTTTTATAGCTTTTTTCATATTTTCTTTTGTCCATCTTCTTGGATCTGTAGCTTTTTCCTTCCTCATTTCTAAAATAAATAAAAAAACGACCAAAATACTTAAAAATGAAAATATAAAACTACTACATGTGGGGCACATTACCCGAAATCAATCGGGGCGCATTAGCCAAAATTCAGTGTAACATGCCTCACTTGATTTCAACAAAAATGTTTAGGAAAAACAAAACGCAATTGTAGTTACAAAATAGTTGAAAGAGATTAGCTATAGAATAAAACTTTACAAACTGAAAGAAACATGAAGCAAACATTTAAACTCAAAGTTACAACAGACACAAAACATTTTCAGACTATGATACTTACATTGTGACCACTTTTTCTTCGTAAAAACAAATAAATAACAGCACTGAATTGTTTACATCGACGCCATACTTCTATCACTAACCTAAACGGACAAAATTAGCAACAAATTCAAAATGCATCTGTAAGTTTTGCGAGTGGGGCACATTATCGACTGGGGCACGTATGCCTGATTTACCCTACAATGCATATAACATTTTATTATAGTAAAGCAGGCTTTTCAAATTTTTTCGTAATAAAAGCTTTGACATTTTAACGAAACGACAAAAAGTGGTAAAAAGTCCATAGATAAAAACCCCTGTGGAGTCTATTTATGAAAAAATGTTGTGGTAAAAGATGCAAATTTTTTCTTACGAATAATTTTTTTGCTGACTAAATTTGAAGGACCCTTGATAATTTAAACCTTATGCTAATTACCGACCTTTCGCGAAAGAGGTGCCGCCGGTGGAATTAGCGCCTCGAAATTCCTTTTAAATAGGGACAGGTTAAATGATAAATTCAATTAATTATCAAATTCAGAGAACAGTTAGTGAAAGTTTAGCCATTAACCGTTTTTATTATTGGTTTATGTTTTGTCAGCGTATTAACGTTGGAATTTATTGTCTTTTCTTAATGGGGGTCTTTAAAAGGGTTGATCATTATCGTAGCTTTATTAAATAATTTAGTGTGATCTTAGTTATTATAATGATGAAAATTGACTTGTTATATTTAGTGTTATTATGAACTTCTTTTATTAAAACTTATCCAATAACTTTTTTATTTTATTCTCTATTTAAATAATCGGATACTATTAAAAACTATCATATGCTATTTCCTTTTTGTTATTAATTTTCTAAAATCAGTTTAGATTTGTGCTAAGATAAGAAGTGTCTATTTCTCGTTATACAAGTCTTACCTACAATGTAGGTAATTCGTGCATGAGTAAGCTTGATATTAACCACATCACATTTTAATTAAGTAGGTACTTAATGCTATTAAAACCAAAATGTCAACAATATTCTAACATTCTGATAACTTTAACTTGGGGTTGTTAAACTGTTAGTTTACCAAGTCGATCTGAGATAAGACCCTTTAATATTGTAAGCTCTATTTTCAATATTTGCTGGATACTTATGAAGATCCTGCAAATAATAGATTAGGATTCGTCCTCCAGAGCGGACAATTACTAAGTAGCATCAGACCGGACGGTTAAAACCTAGTGCTTGCATTCATCTATTTATTCGAATAATTCTGAAAGAAATTACTTATGCCTAATAAAAATGGATAAAGGTAAAATAGTTGTAGAAAGTAACTATAGTGGACGGCGAGTAAGGGAAGCTCGCCGCCCGACCAGAACCAGACCCGAGCGTACGGCGCGTAGCGTTCCGCGGGCGCTTCTAAGAGCCATCACAGACGGGGCCCTATAGGGCTGATGTTCAGCCAAGGTTGCGGGGCAAGCGCAATGAGGCACCGCGGTCTCGGCCCAGAGCAGTAAAAGGAACGGGGGGGTTTTTAGTCAGTAAGAGGCAACCCTATAGGGCCCCGTCTGTGGTGGTCCATTGGCTCTTTGAGGCGCGCGCGGAACGCTATGCGCCGAACGCTAGGGTCTGGTTCTGGTCGAGCGGCGAGCTACCCTTACTCGCCGTCCGCAGACCCGCGCTTAGGGTGGCCGGAGATCATCTCTCGAGCAACCCGACCCCGGGTGGAAGAAGTCATTTGATGATTTTCCCCTCACAAAAAAACTGTATGTAGTTACGCACCTGCCGAGGCTGCGGGTGTAAGCATTGTAATGTGCCGCGGCCTCGGTCTGGGAGCAGGAGAAGGAACAGAGTGATTTTCAGACAGCAAGAGTCACGTCATTTAATGACTTTCCCGTACAAAGCAGTTACCGAATCTCATACCCATAAGGCAAGCATGCTTTGCCAATGATGATCCTCGTATTAACCTTATATCACAAAGAAATATCAAGCTTTAAATTAGCATGAAGGACGAGATCATCGATGTTGAGTTGCCGAAAGAGTTAATATCTCCTGACTCCTAAGGATAGGATATGGAAGGAAGCGAAACGCGTGTCGAGTGTAGTTTGGGTAGTTTCTTTATGTGTAGTATATGTGCTTGTGCCTTTAAAATCATCTACTTCAAAATGGGAAGAACGCAGTATTATCTCTATCATTTGTTTAAAGTTAGAATGAATTTTCGTAAAGTTATTGGTTTTATTGTTTTTTCGAATTCGTTTCTATCGGCCTCAAGTCATATACTTACTCACAGACTTACCTCACACAGTTCCCTCATTCTAGCTCTTAGCACAGGAGTCTTCGGAGTTAGGGCTGGCTCTGGGCGAGTATCCTCCAAATATTGCACGATAGCCATCGACTCGACTAGCGTCACATTGTCTAAACATAAGAAAATTTCTGTTTTATGATTGCACATTCCAATTTATTCATAAAAAGGTTATAGTTTACTAGCGGCCCGACCCAGCTTCGCATAGGTGCTATGCTGATACTTAATTTCTTCACTTTGTAATGGAATACAAACTAATAATCCTCTTTAATTACCCTATCTATTGAAAACCGCATCAAAATCCGTTGTGTAATTTTAAAGATTTAAGCAAACGTAGCGATATAGGGACAGAGAAAGCGACTATGTTTTTACTACGAAGTGATGCAATTATTGATATTTTTACAGCTATTTTGAGTAATTATTGCCATCTACTATTTTGAAGTCATGAATAAAGAATCGAGTTGGAAACTAACAAAGATAAGAAATTGTTTCCTATTAGTAAAATTACATTGAACACCTATAAAAGTCTTCACTAAAGCTGACGAGGAATTCAAATATAAACATGACGTTAAGAATTGATAGCTATTGATTGACCATTGACAGGGCACAATCAATGGCTGACAAATGGTGTGAGTTGAATTGAGCCAATAAATAAATGATAGCGAGAGTATTTACCAATAGAAGACCGAATAAAAGACGGCACAAAGAGAGCACGTAGTCTTACATTGAGGGCAGTGTTTGGTAAAAGGATCCTCTTTATTGTAAAGGAAATACCTTTAAAATTGTCTGAATAGGAAACTGAAGAAAGTGGCTTTTTGTCATCTGAAGCTACACACAGACATTCAGACCCTGCCTTTATTTAGGTAACCTATGAGAAGTTTAAAACAAAAGCTTTTGTTAGCACACATTCAATGTACTAAGTTTAAAACAAATGGTATTAGCACACGTTCAAGGCACTTTTAAATGACAAACTTGAATGTTATTATTGGAAATTGAAAAATGAAATAGATTCGTACAATAAACGACAGGTAGACGATTGATTAACATATTTTGCAAGAAAAAACAATAAGAAAATTTATAAATCAAGCTCATGCCATATGGGTTCAAACAATGTTTTTAAAATGTCAATGTGACATTCTACAGACATCACGAAGGATGGTTCAGTGGACGAGTCCTTTCGTGGTTTCAATACATGTGTTTTACGAACTTCATTGTCGGTGGATAAAACCGTTGGTCCGTCAACGCGTCAAATCCTACGAAGAGTTTGTAAAAATATTCACTTCAATTGATACCGATTTGATTGCGACTCGGTTGATTGGTTCCGTTGTGACTACAGAACCATTAAATTTGCTAGAAGGTCTCACTATTCATTGATCCTCCGCTAACAGTGTCCCTTGAACAGTCAAATAATTCACTTAATTCGTCTACTATTTGATTTACAGGTAAATTAAGCGAACTTTAGAAATTCCTCGGGGTGGAAAGTTTGAACAAATAAGGCTGTCAAGTGGTAAATTATTTTCGTAAATTCATTTGTGACAATTTGAACCTTGTAGTGTGGTGATAAATGTGTTTATGCTGTGGTTGCTAGCTCTTGTTTTCTGTGCTACCTTTGATCGTTGTCCCGAAAGCACATATACATAATTGCTGTCAACATTGGTTACGCCGCTAGTTTTCTGCATAGAACCTTGGCTTTATTGTGCGGATAATTTTACTTTAGCTTACATTATGTCTCTGTTTTCAATGTTCTTTTTCTTATTTTCTTAAAAGTTTCCAAAGTATATTCCAAGTGAATTGGATAGCGCAGATATTATTGCATCCATTTGCTTGAAAACCACGCCGTAAACAACTGTTTATACAAATTACTTAGTGTACAAGTAGATACTACGCATTCCCTTAAAATTATTTCAATTTTTCAATATTCGCAATTTTCGGCAACAATATGATGCCTATCTATTGAGATTAAAATTCCGAACAGAAAACAGATTGAGCCCTATTAACTTTTATTAATAAAGAAAATATCAACTGTTTCCATTTCAAATAAATCTGTAATAATAATATTGCTTCAAAGATGGTATAAAATTAAAATAGCAATTTTATTGGCTGGCTTGCGTAAAGTTGAACAAACTGTTGAGATACAGATATATTACGAGGCACTTTACAGGATTCAATGACCCAAATAGTTACCAATTCAGTCAGAGTTTTTCTATGTACGATGTTATTAGATGGCGACACATTCATTTAATAGCTATTTGCGGAGTTATTGACCGGTCCACTTAAACAAACGGTCGGTTGCCTCGAGCACGCAAATGATGTTTTATTGTACCAGCCCGACCTAAAACACTGCTTGAATTTTTAATATGGTAGCTTTTGACATCTCTCATCAAATCCCGTCTGAATCAGCAAGGACTAAAAACTTTTTGGTTGGAATTTGAGTGCATTGTAATGCTTTCTTATTTTATTTGTGGCCAGCATTCATTAATTCAAATTTGAATTCGGTTTTATGTGGAATTGTTTTTTCGGTAATATTTACTTTTTGATCTACCCTATGATTGTTATTTGGATTTTTTGTTGGTTTACCGTTTGGGATAGTTGAAGTTAAATGATATAAAGATACGATTATCAGTGTAATTTAAAAAGTTAACACTACTGTGTTTCAAATGTTGTGTTATCAAATGAAAATTATGTTATATTTATAAAACTAAATACTAAAATAAAAAGCAAACTTCTATAGTATAGTCCATAAAAACACTTAGTACCTGATATACCTGAAGACTTGCAAGTGCGTTGCCGGATTTTTAGGGGTTAGGGATTTCAAGACCAAACATGCGTTAAGAAACCTCACTCAAACACAAGACAAGTGTTTTTAATGCCTTTATTCAGTGCGACCGTAGTACCTCTCCGGTCTAGGAACATAAACAGAATTTACAGAACATTCTAGATAGAATTTACTTTACGCCTCGATCACATGAACTTATAAACTGTTTTGCCAGATGCTTAAGCTTTTATCACAGACTATTATCGTTCGCAAATCGTTTCAAAACGAGTAATGGATCTCTAATGATGGAGATAGCAAATTATAGGGGTGTGGAGATTAGCAGCCCTAATGTGTTTTCCTAGAACGTTAACTTGCACATATCAAGTGGAGGTAAACAGTGATGGCTCGTTCATTTAAAGCTGTTTGTGATTGTTTAATTATTATTTTTATATCGAATATAAACGATGTCACTAATCCAACTATGGACAATACAGTAGTTTCCAGCTAGTCAAATTCAATAGTTTTATTCAAATGTCAAAAACGACATTTTTATATGAAATTTGTTTGAAATACTGAGTTATGACGTCATTGTATTTTTACGTCAAATAGCTTACTTATTTCTTAAAAATTGCTAAAAATATCTAAAATTTAGTGTATCGATCGACCGATGAATTAAAGTATAGTTATTTTTCAAGATTTTATTGTATTGAAAAGTCTATTTAATTTATGTTTGACCTAGGAAGCCACCCAATTAAACAAGTAAACATTGTTGATTTTACCTAACGTACTTACGTACGTACTTGCATGCTTAACAACACGGGAGTAACGATTTGTTCAAGTATAGCTTAGATTTTTCGGAGAATTATCCATTTACAATTATTTTTAGGCTTACAGACGTGTAAGGAAAATCGTTTTGAATCCTCATATCATGAAACAAATTAATCAGGAAGGAATATCCGAGGTTGTTGTATAATACTTATGTCGGTTTAGCGTAGGTGTAAGGCAAAGACATCATATCATTGTATAAGATATTGTTTCACCTTTTCATGACAAATTGTTTGTTTTTGAACTGTTTTAAAATCCGTCAAAGCTATTCTTCCATAAATATTGTTAACATCATACTATTTTTTAGCCAAAAAGAGTTTGTTGTTCAAATAAATAAATGATTGAATACATATTATTAGGTATTTTTTCTATCCTAATCTATCTAAAGCCTTAGCAAAGTCGATGAAAAGATGTGTTAAACTCCTTAATTTTGACAGTTTTGTAGAAAATTCATTTTCATAAGTGTAGTAATCGTATATAAAGTATAGTATCTTTTTAAAATGTACGCTTTTCTCGTCCTTAGATAAGTATTTTTGAAACAATACAAATCAATAATTAATCCATTTGAGAGCAGTGAACCTTTTTATTAGAGCTGCATTTAAAAATAAACTAAAAGGCTTAGTATAAATCGATCAGGATTAAATTTAAGCTCAAAAAGAACCTTGCGTTACATTGTCTAAGTATAGAATGTAATCTATGCGGGTCCAATTATTCCTATTTATATCTGTGAGCAAAGAGATCGTCTTGTGGCACAGATAAACCACAAGTCTAGTCATTTATTGTTTCTACTTCGTCCATTAGAGGTTCAGGGAAATGCGTACGTACAATTAATGGTGCAACAATGTATGACAATATTTATTTCAAGATAAAGTTTTTAATACCTAAATGAATTCTCGAGCGTCATTTGTTTGGTTAACTTCGTAAATATTTCGATACAGTACAGTCAGCATTTCTTCCTTGTGTTGTGAACTCTTCTAAGCAAGTTCTTTAAGGCAAAACCAGATTGTTTGAATACAGTTTTTTTGCCTCAAATACTTGTCTACAGCTACTACTTTTCGAACCATTCGTAATCTTGACTAACGACCTAGCTAATCTTAGTTCAGCAAATTAATTATTCTTCCCGCTTAATCAAACAAAATCGTCAACAAGAATCATCAATCAAAACGTAGTTTACAACGAACTATCGGACACGGACCAACACTTGTAATTAGAGGCACAAATTGACCGCGTTTCCTTGATTGACAGCTTACCAATCGCAACGAGAAATCAAATTTAGGCGCGAAAGTACCGCGTGTGATTGAAGTGTACCTATATAAGCGTGCTAATGAGTCGGTTATTAGCCGAGACCAAAGTGCACTCGATCGGGCTAAGAGGCCATTGTGACGGCATGACATCAGCGAATATTGAACCAAATGCATGTCCAGAACCCAGAACAACGGCCTAATATGAGGAACACGTCAGCCAATGATTATGCAGATTTATTGTGTGTATTTACTTGTTGGTTGGGACCTAATGTTGATATATTGAGGGGAGTAATTAGGTACCATTCTCTATTTGAATTGGGAGAGATAAAATAGCGTTGTTTTTCTTTCGGTCTAGTATCTAGGTTGCCAGTCTTGTTATTTTATTCCTTAAGAGCGTTTATGAGCTGAGTTCCATACAAACTGTCAAGTCCAAAATCATAGTATAGTTATACGAATCATACATAGCTATGCAGCCTTACCGATTTAAAAAAATATATAAAAAAACAGATACAAGCAATTTGAAGTTTCCCTTCAAACTTAAAATGACATAATATAGGTAAGCTCGATGACAAATCATTTAGAAAATGAACTTAACTTAGGTATTGGATATATTGCGTAGAATCACAATTTCTCTTTATATAGTTGTATATTTATAATTATTTTGGATTTGGGTTTCTGATTCCCGACGTTATGTTATAAAAATAAGGCTCACAATCATAAGAGAACTTCCAGCAAATAAGCAGTTTTTTTTAATATAAGAGTTTTATTTAATATCAAAACAAATATCTTTTAATTAGATAAAGCTAAAACACCAGCACATTGCAATTCGCTTAGTATTCCTCTAGGATAGTTAGAGTTCTGGTCAACAATGTCAATATGTCCGAAACAAGGGAAGTGAATTTGGAAATGAAGTCATGTGGAAAATTGTCGTCCATGCCAAACAATCTGTGACCCTCAGCTAATCTAGGCAAAGAAGGGTTTAGCAACTGTGGTTGGAAGATTATCTCTTTAATTATACTGCAAACATGATTTTCTGAACTTTCAAGTCCAAAATATGTTAAACAGAATTTAATGCAACTTGGTAATAGTACGCAATATATGTATTAAGATTTGAATAAATTAAGTTTTTCGAAATCTTGTTTAAGGGACCAGTTATTTTGATTTTAAGAAGTTAATGACTAATTACATAATTGAAATGACATTTCACCGACAAAAAAATAATAAGGTAGCAAACATCCATCCTTACTTATTTTCTTTCGCTTTTACCAATTAATATATTAGTAGGATGTGATATATATAGTTGAAAAGAAACTCTACGTAAACATCCCACTAACCTTTTTCGAAAACATAATAGAGTTATCGCATTCAGTCGAATTAAAATCTACATATCGATAAAGCGATATCGACATGAAAACCTGAATATTTTCTCCTCATTTCCTTTTCATCAAATCGAACGGATATTGGTATATTAGGAGTTTTTTTATCGACGTGAACGTGTCGATATAATAACTTCGTATGATAAGTTCAAAGACGTACCTACAGCTCTATACCAAAATGAAGGAAATAAAATGTGTTTTCAAATTTAATTCATTAGTATATGAAAATATCCAATTCAGGTTCTCAAGGAGATTTGTAACATTTTTGGCAGATACAGTTTTGCGTGCTTTTTATAGTTTTCGAAAGAAGTTCCTTTCTACAGTTCCTCCATGGGATATTTTTTTGATATCTATATTTTATTTAGTTGGGTTGTGTTTAGCATGTGAGTGAGGCCCAATCATTAAATAAAATCTCCGAAACCCTAATCCCCAAAAGGCTAGCAACGCTATCATAACTCCTGAGGTGTTGTTGTTCTTCATTTACAACGCCGATTAATTGCATCGGGTAGTCTGCTCGATTGTCGCCATATCACATAAAAATGGCCCCTAAGTAGGTATACCTATAGATATTAATTAATATTAATTATCTTAGCCAAAATATTTATAAATTGAAATCTTATCTTAGAATCCTGGTGTTAAGACTCATAATAATAACGCATTAGATAATAATAACCCTTTCGTTTATTACCACAATTCGCAATAGTCCTGCATCAACCGGGGATTATCCTTGGGTGCACTTTCATAGTGCAAGGGATAATTGCCGGCTGATGTCCCATCACATTTAGATTAAAACTGTTCAAAGGGCCTCTGCGAGTTGGCTTCGGCCCCTCGTACGCCTTCCAAAGGTCCGGGATCCTATGATCCCGTGAACGGAAACGAACGCATTAGATATAACTAAAATCGTACTAGTATTCATAAATACAGATGAGCTTTATGTCTCCCACAATGGTATTACACAAAGATAGTTTGCGTTTGAATCCAATAGGTACAAAAACACTTCCATATTAAACTAAATACGTTTGTCCGCGTATTTTAATCATGTTTTGTATTGAAATCTTCTGCGAAAATGACTTATTATTTCTTTTGCCTAGGGGAAATTACTTTTGGGCCCTTTTGGGATATTGTGAGTACAATCAACCCACATATATTTATAACGAAAATGGTTGACATTGAGTATATCATGTTCGTCACGATGGCGAAGTACGTAATATTTATTTTCAGTTTTACTACCAAACTAGGCCCCAGGACGTAAGTTTGTGTGTTTCTGAATGTTTGTTTAGTGTGTTATACTATAGTTTATTTGTATATTGTATCGTATTCAATGTTTTTTTACGTTTTTGAATATAGGCAAGAGGGACTTCTGTTTAGATATTGAATGAGCGGAGAGGAATGAACTGTGAATACTTTATGTTAGGTAAAGACTACTTACGTAAAAAACCAAAGGATTGAAAACTTTTTCTCGAATGTGAATGTAAACAGTCTATTGTGACTTAATAAAATAATATGTATTTACAATCTAGAATAAGATACATCTTGTTGTTTTTTTGTCATTAAGTAGTATTCGAATAACCACATGTTTCATATTATACCTACATATTGTTTTGTAGAAACAAAACTTTTAATACTTAATTATTATTGTCTATAGCTTTGAAAATGAAAAATGAAAAAAAAAGCTTTATTTGTATATCTTTGTTTTCTTTTTATTTTTTTGTATCTTTTTCATTATTCTTTATTTATTACAATTTTATAAGTATCGTTATAATTTAGGATGCTTTGGCTCAGCTGAGCATGTTTGTAACTTTTTTATGGAGCAAGCCAGCCGCAACTTTCCAAAACCGCTGCAACTCCTGTAAGCCAGTATCTTTAGTAGATATAACCATGAAAGCACCGGAATACTTAAATCCGGCGCATCCCAGGATGGATGTTTGGCATCCCGCAACGAAAAAAAATCAGAAATCAGAAGTCATTATTTGAGGAGAAGAAAAAACGAAATAAATTTTATGCAGAAGACATAATGACTTAAGCCTTACAGGCCCAGAAGAGACTGTACAACTGGGAGAAGCCCAGTGACCAAACACGACGGAAAATTGACTATTGTTTTTTTTTACTTGCAATAAACTAGTGCTTGACTGCGATCCCACCTTATAGCGGTGATGCAATCGTTGATGGTAAGGCGCACTGGTTTATTAAGAGCCTACTCACTCTAGCCTTGAAGACACCTAAATTATATTCGGATGGAAAGACTGCAGCCGGCAAACTGTTCCAATCCCTCGATGTACGCGATATAAATGACGAGGCCTATCGCTTAGTCCGGGCCGCAGGTGTCTCAGCAACGCAAGGGTGGATATTTGCCATACGCCGGGATGTCCAAAGGTGAAATTGGGATGGCGAAATCAAATCGAGCAATTCCTGCGTACACTCTCCAAAATGCATCCTGTAGAAAACCGCAAGGCTGGCTACTCTGCGCCTTTGCTCGAGACTTTGAAGATTGGACAAACCAACAAACTACTTATTGTAATACTATTATTGTAATTGTATTTATTTATTTATACTACCGTAAGTTCAAAGCAGGGTCAAAGTAACCTGTACTTTGACCCTGCAATGTAAATTTGATTCAAATTTTCTTTTGTTTCTAGTAATAGGTATCTATGGCGAAAATGCCCAAACGCACGGAAATTTGTTGAGACATTTAACTTATCTAACATAATGTTATGTGCATTAGCATGTATGTAACTGTTGTTGTTCCAATAACATTTATGTGTGTAAGAGCCAAGCATCGGCATGAATGGGCTGGCTCGATCTGAGTGATACAACGGCCTTACAGATTCCCGACATGTGAGTACAACAACACTTACGTTATGCTTAGTGTCGTGTGAGTGACTTTATCAGAGGCATCCCCCTATAAATCCTTAAATTCTCTATACCTAACTGCCCACGGAAGGCAACGCACTTGTAACTCTTTAAGTTTCTCGAGTGTCCTTCGACTGCGCCGATTGCTTACTATCATGATCGTTTGGTTATTTGCTGATCTATAATATGGCAGAAATAAATACAGTTTAACAATTTTCCCTACAGAAGAATCGAACCTGATGCATTGTATGTTGTGTGTGATGACTGGTTGTATTTTGAAATAACGGTAAACTTATGTTTTTCATTTTACTAAAGACTAGTTTCATTTATATTATCTACATGTCAATAAGCTAGCAAACATTATACTTATACTTAGTACATTTTTCTCCGTATATAGATGAGTTATTGTCATGCTGACGTCATTGCTGCGTAAGTAGAAATTAATTGAGTAGGTAATTGATGATTGCAGATTAATTGCTGTTATTCAATTATGTACTTAACTAGATATAGCTATAAGATTCTTTATAATATGCATATCATTCACAAGATGCGTCCTTTGGACTTAGGCCTCCTGCAATGAATTCCAGATTTGAATTTTATTAAGGACCAGTTACTTATAGCGGCCAGTATCCATTGGTTTCCCTATAAACGTTGACGTGGCTCTGTAGATGTCTAGCGCCATGTTTTCCAGTATTCGTCTTTGTGAAAATCTACTTGTTTCATCGACCGTCAGTTCTCCGTGTTATTTGCCACTATACTCCTAACTAGTTCCCTCACTTACTATTTGGACCTCATCTACCTATATTGCATAATAAGCTATATTTAAATCAGTTCAGTAGTTTGTATAATATGTTTGACTTGAAAGTTTTTATGAAATCTCGTGTAGCGTAAATACTTTTAAGGGGGTAAAACCTATAGAATTAATATGTAAGCTAATTACTTACCTATAATTAAAGCAGGTACTTTCTCAGCAGGATTGATGGCGCGGAACTGTTCAGTTTTCTGTTGGTTGGTCTTCACAATGTCTATAGATCGCTCCTCGAATGGAATCCCTTTCAAATGCAGGGCTGCACGCACACGCCATGAGCATGATGACAGCCAATAAGCGTAGAGAATTGCGCGGTTTTCAGCCTTCGAAAGGAGGTTAGGTTTTAAATACAATTTTTTTTTCTAGTAGCCTATTCTTATATATGTTGCTTCTAGTTTTCCTAAATTAAAAAGTGTGTGTGTTATTTTAAGAAGGCACAAAAGTATTGTAATGCCTTTCGCCGTTATAACATTTAACGATGTTTTAAGTACCTACTTAAACGTATAATTATAGCTGTACCTACTTAATTGCAGTACCTATTTACGCAATAATTTAAATTTTATAAAGCTGCAAGAGTTTGTTTATTAATTTGTTTGGTCGCGCTAATCTCCAGCTTTGCTATTTCAAATTGAGCATTCGGTTTGAGTGGGATAGTCCATTAGTCGAGAAAGACTTTAAAGTGCGCACGCTTAAATAGGTAGTTGTATTGAATAAAGGCGAATATAAACTATTAATTACCTAGTTAGTTAGATACTACGTAAGTAGATAAAGTTTCTTTGCAGTTCAGACAAGACACGAGTCCTCTTAACTGTCGCAAAACAAACATCTTACATTTCCAATCGCGGCGTTGTTGAGAGTGGTAATGCGAGATCGACTGTATAGCAAATAAAACGTAGGTATCTAGTCTAGACACACTTAGGAATTATTTGCTTTAAACTTGATTGAACATTCTTAAAAGGACAGAGACATATTAAGTAGGTAACTAAGTTTATTTTACTTAGTACTTATTCATTGTTTCTTGGATGGGATCCCAAGGGAATTTAAATTCAATATTCTATGCTTAAACGTTATTTCTAGTATTTAGGGCCTTCTATTTAATTTTAGTAAATATTATAATTCAATACTTATTAAATTTGTCATAATACGGTAGTTTCCAACAAATCAAACACAATACTTTTATCCAAATGTCAAAAACTATACTTTTCTATGAAATTTGTATGAAACACTGAGTTATGACGTCATAGCATTTTTGCGTCAAATAGCTTCCTTTTTTCTTAATAATTTTGCTAAAAAAATATCTAAAACTTAGTGTACCTAAGTATCGATCCATCGATGAATAAAAGCAAGTGGGTATACATAGGTAGTTATTTTTAACATTTTATTGTATTGAAACGTCGAATTAATTTATGTTTGACTTAGGAAACTACCCAATTATATTAGGTATACTGTAAGAACTGATGGCGCTTCATTTAAAAACATCCAAATAAAACGTCAATAACTTCAAAAAATTGATCTTTTTTTAATACGAACCCTCCCTTTTAAGTCCCTTTAAAACCTAGATACCCTGCCTAAGTGGTGTTTAAATACTTTAACATTTATTTTTTGTCCCTAAATATAATATTTACATTCCTATCTCACAATAAAACAGAACCAGTAATAAAAGAAAATCATAAACAAGATAGACTCGAACTATAAAAGTTATTCCGTATATTTTGAGGTTATGTTTTAAAGTTCATCAACCCGAAATTAAGTACCTACCTACATCATATTTTAGATGCAGACAAGGTAACAATTTTGCACTTAAACCTTATTATTGAAGCTAAAATAATATTATAGCATTGATAAAAATAAGCAAATCCATCTAAATCAATGTCACAAATAAATATTAACTTAAAATCGAATCCTTTTTCGATATTAGCTATCTATTGGAATATGAGTGGGTGTGTTGTTTATAAACAGCTAATTACAAACTGACACAGGCTAAATACAAACCACCTGTCAAGACCGTACATCAATCAAGTGATTACCGCCGTGATCTACAACTGACACATAAATTACCTCCATGATTAAGGTAACTAATTAACCATTAATACACCCTAATTTGTTGTCGAAATGTCTAAAGGTTCTTATAAATAGAATAGTGGTACTTACCATGTCAGGTGTTTGAATAACTTGTATGTAATAATTTCGTGATAACTCTTATCAAAACAGTCCGTGTTATTATGTCAACATGACAGTCAGAAATTGACGTCGATGATCCTCAAGGTTATATTTTTATGAAAGTCAGTGTATATAATGCATGACTTTCATTAAATTATATCGATTGATACTTAAATTATGAGTAAGGAAATATGCTGTTATGTTGGGTCGCTTTATGCAGATCTGTGGTTATTGATCTGTCCAAACAGTTCCACACTAAAACACTAGATGTCGCTGTTACCAGTTTACAGTTGTAGCGCAAATTCTCAAGCTCATCGATTTTGAAATTATAAATGAAACATGGAAGCTGATATACATTTTATTTATTTACATATATAATGGCAATATACGTAATTATTTTATTATCACTATTAATATTATTCAAATACTTTTTGTTTTTTTTAACCTTATAGACACAATAGACGTGGAAGTTATATAGATTTTACATTCTATGGATTATTTATTAAAAAATAGTTAGAGTTCAGAAGACAATAAGCATTGAAATTTTTGCACACAAGAACGAAAGTAAGTACGATAATGTCCACAGTCAATTTTTAAAATACTAATATTTATTCGATTAACATACTTATTGTAATATTGTTCTCGTATGTATAAACAGTCAATATAAGTATTTGTTATAAATTGTTATTTACTACCAGACAACCATCAAAAACGATAGCAAACATTTGGTCGTTTTATTGTACTATTCAGCATTTTAGGGAATTTAAACTATAAAATTTCGAATGGAAAATGCAATGTAGGTATTTATATTTAAATAATATCGTAGTAAAAATGCAAACATGAGTAATGACTATATTTTGCCAATCGAATAAAGTATAAAACTGAGCATTCCAATTAATATTATTGCTTTAAATACACATTTTCGTCGTTAACACATACATCTATCACTAGACAATGATATAACTGGCCAGAGATACCTAAAATTATACCGAAGCATTGCGGATCTAAAACAAAAAGTTTCTAAATGGACAAATTCAGCCAGTTACAATATTTTTTTCTACTATTTTAACAATGTTACTACTTCCACCCGATATACTTATCACGTTTCTCGTTTACTAATGGGTTATTGCAAATCAGTAGGAAATTATAAAAGCCATTTTAATAATTCCTTGTACATTTATCCCCATCTGAGTGGGGAGCCAGGAGGTCGTAGAAAAGTAGCTCGCGTCTCTGCAGTGAGGGCCCCTCCTCCATCAGAATCGAGATGACCGGTAAACGAATGTAGATGTCGCCGATGTTGTAGTTCATGCCCTTTGTGATTGAGGCTCTGCAGACGACTCCATAGCGAGAAGATCCTTTTATTCACTGCTTTGTTCTGCGTTTGATTTTCGTCTGAAATACACAGGAAAAAGTCGTTTAAGTGACATTTTAGACCTATTCCAACAGTAAGCGGCTTGTCCGCGTGAGTGATTAACCTAGCCAATAATATAAAACAAATATGTCTTATTAAGGGCTGATTTGTCAATGGTTAGATAAAAGTTACCTGGGGAATTATTATGACGCTGTCACGTCAGAATGTTGGTGTAAGATAGTGACAGCAACAATTTTATTCATTAGGACACATTTATCTGACTATTGAAAAAAAACAATTAGCCGAACATAGTACCTCCTCCTCTTTTTGAAGTCGGTAAAAAATAAGCCCTTAATTGAATAATGCCAAGGAAAAAAATGATAATCATTTTTCCTTTGTAATATGCTTGCTAACTTTGCCAGATTGATATTATCGAGACAATTTGTTGTCTTATTTGTCTTTATCTGTTATTGAGTTATCAGTTATTTTTCCACGAGATGACGAAGCATGATTTTTGGAGCGTTCTACACTCACCTGTTGACTCGTTACTTTGTGAACTAGTTACGCCTTCCCGTTTGACTTTAATTACGCTCACTTCGGGGTTTTCATTCCTGAATTCATTCTTATAATCCTCTCTCATATTGGTTTCTAGTCCAGCATCTATAAGATTGCCAAATTGGGCATTGGCGTTACCAATATCTTTATTCAAGCACGCTAAACGCATTTCTAGTATTAATAAGGGGTTAGGCGCAGCTACCACTGCATCGTAGACATTATTCGTAGCAGGTTTGCTGTCTAAGTATATTTCGTTGGTTCTATCAGGTGCAACTTCTTCAGTGTATCGTTCTTTATTCGGGTCGGGATCGAAATTTCTCTTGTCGGTATCTCGTCCATAGAAATTGTGGAGGCGATCTAATTGTCTCGGATAATTATGCCACTGTTCTTTTCGGAAACCCTCTCCATTATAGTTGTCATCTTTACTTAGAATATTGAATATATCATCATTTTGATTATTGTCCACATCTGCGTATTTTGGTTGTAAATCATTTATTGATCCTGCTTTGTTCTCTTGTGCGACATACATCTTGTATATTTGATCAAGTACATTTCTTCTTTCATATCTATCACTAAATATATTGTCGTTTTGGCTATCATAGCCGAGTTGTTCTCTATTGAAGTCATTTATGGATATTGGAAGAACATTACCGTTACTGGAGGAGAGTGCTACTATCGCTAGGAGTAGCACAGGGACGATATATTGGCCCATCTGTAACAAGAGAACATAGTTTGTAAGATATCGTACGAGTAAATTAAATCTCAGTTAATTGGCTTAAGTAAAAGTCTCGCGACGGCGGAGACGGAGAAGTTTGTCTGTGTTTATTAATTAAAATTCTAATGTCACCTGTTTTGCGTGTGACTAGTCGAGAATATTCAAAGATTAGTCGCTTCAGTGGAGCGAGTTGAGTGAGTGGCATTGGTGGTGATTTGCATATCCTTTGGTGGCGTTCTCGAGATAATAAAGCACACGGTTTAGTTGTGTGCAAACCTCTCGACATTAATAAGGATTCGGCAAACAAGCAGCCGCTAAGAGAAAATCAATTGACGTTTATTTATCTTGTCGCGGCAAGATTTCTAACTTTTAGGTCGCCTCGTTAAATTGTGTAGAGTTTACTCTGTTAACATGAAAGCAATGTTAAATATTTTGATTTATTTAATGTGTCTTTCTTGCGCGTAATTAGGTACACCATGTGATATACCGTAGAAAGGGTTAGCAGAGGTATAATTACTATTGTCCATTTAGTATAAACCTGTAGTGCTGTTAGCCAAGATAAATTGACTTTCTATCGATAAAAATAATTTGTAATTTCAATGTCAGAGAATTAATTATAATCAAAAATTTGTAATCCATGATCGGGCGTCACATAACATTTTTTGTTGAACACGGTAAACTAAGAAATCAGTCCCGATAATCTTATCATCAAAGTATTTTATTATATTTTGTATCTTTTAACACATTTAGAAAATTCTCGAGGGACTCCTAAAATTGTTTATATCAACGAGTTATTTTCTAAAGAAGCTCGACCATCACGGCAGTCTCTGAGGACAGTAATTCATTAATTATTATTATGAAGGAAAGTTGGCCCGTAAAAGTGCAAGTATCCAAAACTGTCGTACATTAATATTTAATATAGCAACTTCTGAAGAGATAAAGGTCCTTGAAAATAGAGTATCGAAAACAGGTAAATAACCTGTGAAAAGAAGGTAATTTCGCCATTTATTCTTGTAAGCTTCGGAACCTAATTGTAGGCAAATTTATTATTAAATCAAGAACAGACCTACCTACTTTATCAGGTAACATTTTTGTGATGATTGCAGATTCCAGTGTGTGATGATTTAGTGATGGTTGATAAAAATTATGCTACGTTAGGCTGTGGTTTTTAGTCAATAAGAGTCTGACACACCCACTTTTTCCCCACTCAACATCGGAGACGGTATTAGATCATTTTACCCCGTCAAAAAAAGAGTAACGAAAAGCAAATCCAGGCTTGGAATATATCCAGAACAAATTGATTAAAAAAGACGTTGCAAAAATCCTGAACTTAAGAACACACGTGTTCACGATTGAGATCCAGTATCCAACATTTAAGTAGATACTTTACTTATTTCCTTATTAACTTTTGTAGGAAAAGGAAGTCGGGAATGAACACCATTCCTGACTCCGCATTAAACTTGAAAGTCACGAGTCATCCAACGTTATTTACATTCGTATTTGTCAGGCAGACAGTTGGCGTCGGTATTAAAGAGCAATAAAGGTTATTAATGGACGTTAGAGATCTTTGTAATTAACGACCCGAAGTGTTCCGCCAATGGAGGACGAAGTTATATTGGATTCGTCCTCTTATGTCACCATTGTTGCGGAATACTGGCAAGATATTATTTCTTTTTTTTTGTTGTTCTTTATTTGAAAATGTATTTTTGTTTTTTTGCCATATTGTAATGGTTGCTTGTAATGTCTGTTCAAAACTAGTTTAGAACTATGAAAAGTTTGATTCGTGTCGGGTGCTTACCTACCCTTTCCGTCATAAGACAACTGAGAAGGTACTTACACACATATAGGTACATAATCTTACGGTCGATTGGTGGATTAAATCAAACATTAACTTTGATACTAAATTAGATTATTTTTGGTTTTATATAAAAGTCGTTGCCCTAAACGAGGATTTTCTTCTGTATCGTGGGTGCATTTACAAACATACAATTTCACATACATACACATCCCATGCTAACTCGGAACAATAGTTTGTGGATCACACAAAGATTTGTTCCGTGCGGGAATCGACCTGTGAGACATTGCTTGTTGGGCAACAGCCGGTGGCCAATGCACTGCGTCAAGGTAGGTATAATATTTCAACACAATATAAGTAAGTATAGTCTACTTAAACGTCTATCTAATAATCATTTAGGAAATAAATCCTTGTAACTAACATTAAATTAATTAATACACTTCTAAGACCAAAATAAACAAAGTTGTTTGAGCATAATTTTGATGCCCCACTTACAGAACATTAACATAAATGAGGTTTTCAAAGATACAAAGGTAACGTTAATTGTAAAACTTGGCAAAGTTTAGAAATAACTTGTAGCACTCGGTAGAACATGTTTTACAGCTGTTTTGTTGACTTTAATCTGTTCTTGAGCGCCTAATAATTTCCAAGACATGCAATCTTACATTTATACTAAGTAAGTACTTACTATAATTCTAAAGTTGAAAAAAAATTATGTTTAAATTCCGTAATCTCCAGAACTAATGCTTCTAATTTGAAACAATTATTTTTTGTGTAATATAGTCAACTTATTGAGGCCATTTTATACCAGTATCCTTCTAATTTTCAGGTAGGTTAAGTAACATTAGAAAATAATTACTTTTTCAAGCACGCTGCTCATCATTTAAAGTCCCGTTGTGACTTGAAACTAGTTGGGCTTTTCTCGATAAATTCACGTTAGTTGTTATTTGCAATATAATTTTTTCTACTTAATATATTCTAATTAAAAGCGAAAGTTTGCATGTATGGATGAATGTTTTTTATTCTTTTTTACGTACAAACTACTGAACGAAACTGAATGAAATTTGGCACAGGGACAGGTTATAGTCTGGAATAAACCATTATTGGCTAGTTTTTCCCTGATACCGCGAGTGAAACCACTAGCATATACTAGTTTTACAACTTAGCTTAGGTAATAACTTTTTTCGCCGCACCGTGCACACCGCTGCGCAAATGACTTGAGGAATAAGTACCTAGTCATAAAAATAGATGATTTGGAAATTTTAAGGAGTCGTAAATCTTTATTACTTATAAAAGCGGCTAAAAGGCTGAGTGACATTTCAACTTTTATCCTTAAAAATGCATTTTTCTCAATAACCAGCGGGGGTAGTATTTTAAAGGCGGTTAGAAATTTTAAAATGTTTTGCAATAACAATAATTCTAACATTGAACTTCATGTTTACACTTGCGAGTTACCTACATAAAAGGAAACATATGCCTTTGTAGTTTATACCCCAGTACCTGGATATACGGTAACAAAGGGCCATGGTTTCTCAATGAAACACGGTCCTCAGGTAGGTATAGAAATTATATGACGAGGCGACTATAATTCTTTGAACAGGCCTCCTCTATTACCTATATGTAAACATTGATAAAACTATTCTTTTTGTATGTTATAATTTCTTTATACTTCAAATCCCCTCTCTGCCTTAAGCGAGCGTGGTGATTAATGCTACAACTTTCTTCTCCGTTTGAGAAGAGGCATATACCTACTCAGTACTAGTAGTGATCACTTATAGGCTGATGAAGTTTGTGTACGTGATGTTTCGTTAAGAAAATGTTGCTCTGGATTAGGATTTCATTCTGTGTCGTCGGTGTATTTACAAACATACATTTTACACCCAGAAGCGGCACAACAATTTGTCACACAGAGTTATGTAGGTACTCGAACGGCAATCGAACTGTGACAATGCATGGCAGCCAGTTGTCCAGCCATTGCGTCAGCTATATAGTCTGTTGATGATGTGAAAGTCATTATCTTATAATTTTAATATTGTTGCGATTATAATAATATATTTTTTTCCAAATTAAATAGCTTTAAAGCTCAACTACATTGCTCATGAATTGAATGTCCCGTTATGAATTGAAACTATCTACTAAGTAGAGTTTTTCTACGTTAATTCACGTAAGTCGTTGTTTTTCAGTAAATTTAGTATGTCTCAAAATATTCAAAGTACATAGGTAACATGTTTTTCGTAGAAAAGTATTACTTACTTAGTATTAATCTAGTGGTAAAATGTCGAATAGGGACCTCAATATTTTAATGGCGAGAAATTATTTCGGTGAACAGAATGACTCAGATCGTTCGGGAATAGTGACGAACTTTCTTAGAACTTATGCGTTTGTTTATTTTATCGATATTTTGGTCGCGTTGCTTAGCAACCGATACCTGTAGCAACAGTTTGTCATCATAACTATTCTATTGTTACACTAAAATGATTGGAATGACTTTTGTGATTCACTTTGAGTTAAAATCGTGTTTTGAATGCGTGTAAGTTTTAAATTATATGTTACTTAGGGCCGAGTTTTAAATGGTTAGATAAAAGTTAGCTGGGGAATAATTATGATGCTGTCGCGCCAGAATGTTTGTGTAAGACAATGACAACAATTTTATTCTTCAGATAACTTTTATCTGAAGAATAAAGAAAAAAAAGTTTGGGTTTGTAAATAAAAAATGGGCGCGAACAAGTTGTTACATTAACTATGTGCCCCTGTCTGCCAAGCCGGTGAATAAGACGCATGAAGTTATATTATGTCAAGCGATGTCATAGTCCACCGCATCGCAATGAGAAGCGCGGCGCGGCGCGGGCGTAATAATGTTAGATATTGCACGGTTTTGTCCGCGGCACACATTGAGCTGGCGTCTGTTTGCGGTTGCGGGGAGAGGGGACGAGCGAGGTGTGCGTTGCGGGGTACGGGGAGAAGGGAACGCGACTGAGAGGGGAGCGGCACGCCACGCCACCGCATACCGTTGCGACAGCGTCAGCTTCGCTCAACGTCACGGTAAGCGCCGCGCGACCTAAATATTCCACACTATATAATTCAAAATGAACTGGAACGATGACGATTTAATAGAACAAGTCAAGAAATATCCTGTTCTATACCGAGACAAAAGGAAAAACTACAAGAACATCATAAAGAAGGGCAATTGTTGGATACAAATTGCTGCTGCATTGAACAAGACACGTAAGAATGTTACCTACCTACTACTTATTGTATTGTAGTATTTATTTACACGTATGTTCATGTTTTTGTGGTATTTTAAAGTGTTAGTGTGTGCACGACACACAACTATTCATAAATATGTTTGCAAGTTGCCCCGCGGTCGGGCGCCTTCTCACAACAGCAGCCGAAATGTTGCACGGACACCGTTTGTTTTTTTGTCACGGCAATTTGAACTCTATTTACAGCGTGTATTCTCGTGCGTCTCGCGTACTTACACTTTACAATACTTGGCATGTAGTAAGGTATTTATTTTTGATACTTCGTTCGCGTTATGTTTAGGTATTATACCTTATCTTTTCTGTGGACACTGATAATTTGTGTAGTATAGTGGCGTGTTGATTATTGATATTAAATTTAGTATTTTTGCGTCAAAATGCAAGGTCAAAACAAACTTGTAGGACAAACAAATACCTCGATATTCTGACACAATCACAAATAGTGTAATGTTAAATAGACTACCTAAATTATAAATTATATATTATAATTATTGTTTATTATACAATATGTAATTCGTATGTAATACAGCTGTATTAGGATTTAATCAATTTTTTGCAAATAAGAATATAACACCTTGCGTAGTTTTTTAAAAGAGAAAATTTATTTTTTATTATATTTTGGTTAACTGCTATGATGAATACTGTAAATGTTAATTGGATTAGTTCTAGTTATAATTTCTATATATTTTGTCTGGACAAACACATAATTTGAAGAATATTAGTTAGCTCGTAACTGGCTTATGTATAAGATCTACTAACCTATAACCAATACTTTAAACTACTTCGTATATATAAGCTGAGAGCCTGCCATATTTTAATATATAAATAAATAAATTAAATTTAAAAGCAAAATTATTTGTTGCAGCCGAAGAATGCAAATCAAAATGGCGGAACATACGGGACAGTTACTTAAAGAACCAAAAGAAAAAACTGGCCGGCGACGCTCCTTCCTATTCCAAATATTTCGATGAAAAACTGAACTTTCTATCGGAAGCGTACGAAACAGGAGAGACTTCGAGTAACAATATTTCAGCTGACGATAGTCCGAGTTCTCCTTCGAATAATATTGAGTCTTTTGACATTGTTGTCAAAGAGGAATATGATGCGTTTGCAGAAGTTCCACCAACAGAATCAACCTTCTCATACAGCGCTGCTAACTCGCCAGATGACAGTGTACCAATTATAACTTCAGTAACACCTGCACCATCAAGAACACCAGCTGCAAGAAGGGCGTATAAAAGAAAACTAGACGCCATTGTAGACGAAATGAAAAAAGACAGAGAAGAGAGAAATCAAATTTTTAAAAGCCTAGTTGATAGAAATTCTGGCGGCCAAACATCTACCCATAAATTCTTTTCTTGTATGGCCGACATAGTTAGTAATTTCCCACTAGAAAAGATTGCAGAAATACGAATGAAAATTTACAGCATGGTTAATGATATGGAACTTAGTATAATGAAAGAAAATAGTCAATAAGTCAATAGGGTTAGGCGTATAGACTGTTTTTTTTTCCTTTGAAAATAAGTAATTTTGTAGGACTTTTTTATGAAAAACACACTTTCTGTCTTACATCTTTAATCTATATTTACTTGGGGCCGGTAAATATACCTTCTTTTTCACTTCTACCTTTTTCAAACTCAATTCAATTAAGATCTCCTTTCAGTAACTTTTCATCTTTTATTTTTAATATAAGTATTTTTAAAAGACAACTGAAGTTCATGTGATTGAAATCGTTTCATTGCTTATGGAGACTATACCTAATTATGTATTTTTACTAAATATTATTCAATTAAATTGATTTTTTTTAATGAATAAATGTTTATAAAACTATACATTGGTATTATTTATTGGTCTCTAAAGTCATTGATATGAATTTTGTATTTCAGGTCTTATTTTTTTATTTTAATCAACATGGCCGTTGAGTTAGTTAGTAGTTCACCACGAATAGAATTGGTTTGTTCTTATGCAAATGTAAGGATGTTCCTAAATACCACATCCTCAAGGTACTTTAGCCTCTGAAGGGTAGACCTAATGAATATTTATTGTGTATAAATAATAAATAGATCTGTCTGACACGGAGCTGTGAATTCATTAGAATAATTACTATGTCCACTTTCCTTGTTTACTGATACCCGTTTAAAAGAAACATGTGTATAAATTAGTTAGCGAAGGCAATCCCTTCGACCATTAGAGATGAACGTAAGCAATGTAACATCCATGATCATTTCCAAATTTCCTTGTGTCTAAAATTCAAGAGCGAACTTAAGAGTTTACGTATATCAAAAATTTTAAACCAAAATATTTTTTAAATAGGAATTCAATACAATACTTTCTGGTCAAAAACGCGGAGTGGAATACCCATGTGGTAATACACGTCCACTTTCATAAAGCCACTTAATTACAGAATCGGTAATGTATCTTCTAGGAATAAACATAAATTGTATAAACCGAATGTGTTCACAACAACTTTGCCTATAATTTTAGAGAAACAGGTGTAATAATAAGTTGGTAATTTAGATTGCAGACTAATCGAAAACAAAACATCTAGGTACACTTAAGCTCTGCACAGATGAGAAGTATTTGTTTTAATTTTTTTTAAAGACTACGTGGAAAGTATTTTAGTCACTTATGCTTCCTCGTCTAAGGAGGACGAAAGTGTCACACTCTTACTTAATAAAAGCTAAAAGCTATCCAGGTGTCTTGCATGTGGACGGGTAGGGAAACCAAAATGTTCTCCAGTGACCCTGTACACCCGAACTGAACTATGTACAAGATGTATGAAGGAGACGGCCATTTTTAATAACCTATCTACCAGTACTTTATGGGGTTCATGTCACGATTCTTTCTCTAGTTGTTTGTAAAAATATATCGTAAATAAATATTTTTGGCAAATTTTCATCATAATTCTGAATTGAGTTTGACCGGACAAAACTCGCTTGCTTGCGCAGATACTTTCAAAAGGCGACTTTTACACAGAACTATTATATTATACTAATGCCAGTGGCAGACAGGAAATTGTGCCTTCTAGTTCGTAAATTACGTATGGCTAGCCGACCCACTAATCTTCTCTAGTCTAATATTATGACCCCTTTCAGTCCCTAATAAGGGTACCGCCAAATAATTACGAAATTGCTGTACGTTTCTCTTTATTTTCTTAACGTTTTTGCTTCATTTGAAAAGCTGAAAAGGATAATATAATCTGAAGGTAATGCTGAATCGATTTTGAAAGGGCATTGAGGCATAATTATTGTATTATGTAGGGTTTATTAAGTTATAAGCTTTGAAAGGGTCAGGTGTTTTACTTTACAATAAATAAATCTTCTAGAATAGAATGTTCTGATAAAATTGGATCCGTTCATGGTGTAATTATAGCCGAAGTTTTTGGATTAAATTGTGATTCATAATCGTATTAAAATTTGTAGACACGATTATATTTGTTCTTAAATCAGTACCTACATATGAGATGGTCGTTATGCGGTCTCTGGCATTTACCTGTCATTGAATCCTCCTCTGTTTTGTGTCCGATTTGGCACTGGATTCAACAAGACATAAGACGATATTAATTTTGTATTTCCATTGTATATAAAAGTATTTTACAATATTTTGTTGTAACAAAGTAAATATTTAATCATGCTTTTTTAATTTCATTATTGGAATAATGATTCTTCAAACATACTCTGATGTAAAGCAAATTAATATTTAGATTTTGAATTTGTATATTCTTCCGAATATCTCAATAATAGTACGCAATTTAGAGCAGTCCCCGGTGTTTGGTAATAAGTTTTCCCATGTATTGACGTTGGCTTATTGCCTGTTACTTTTGTATCTAAAGGTCAAATGGTGGGTCTCAGGAATTAAATTAACTTTAGTCAATCCGCTGATATGATTCAAGTTCTTATTGAATGAATTTAATTAACATTTCTGATATTAAATTGAAATAGGACGTATTTAAATGTATTAAGTTTGTTATTTACTTCTTTCAATAAGTAAGAAAAACGTAGGTTTTTAAACCTATTTAACGGATTAATTTTGGTTAAAAAGGCAAGTACAATACAAAGTGCATGTACAATTATTGCTGTAATATGTTTTAATAGCTAGAACATCGGGATCCCTTTTGTAATTAGTTTCATTTAGTGTCTTTGCCTGAAAATATTGGATTTGCGTAAAAGAGGATGTGTTATTTTGATCTATTACATGACACAGCTTGTTAGAAGCATCCTACTTCAAATTTTATAGCATTAGTAGGGGTAGCGGGGCCAGCGTAATGAGGCATGGCGGCCTTGGCCTAGCGCAGGAGAAGGAACGGGGGAGGGGGTTAGTCAGTAAGAGTCTGACACTTCCTCTCCACTCACCCTGTGTGGGAGAAGTTACTTGATGATTTTCTCCTGATAAAAAAGCATTAGTAGGATTTTATTACCCGTTGGCCAGAAAAGTAGTTTTATTTGGAATTGATTAATTAATTATTAAGGTCGCAGGGAACATTTTGATGTATATGCTGAAGGGCGCTGATATTCAGCATTGGACCTTGGATGTCTTATAGCTATGATGGTGTTTTTAGTTTCATTCATCTTGCTTTGAGACTCGTTGGATGTAACACGTGCATTGGTAGAGTGAACGTTACACGCTCGAGCGATCAATGCCCTAAAAGGCTATATGCCGACTACCGTCGGTTTAAAGCTCTCAGGCCATTGCAGTATGTGGTTCATTCGACCAGAAATTTTTGATTTCAATACAATCGTAAACGGATTCTTTATTTAGAATTTAACCCTGGCTCAAACTAACGTTCTAATAATAGTCTGAGAATTAAAAGTTCCTCTCTATAATTAAGTGTGGGAGAGCCATGCTTCTCACGAATGGGTCGGCTCGACTGAAGTGGTACCATGGCCTCACATTAAACCGGCGTGAGACAACCACAGCGTTGTGTTTTGCCGTGTGAGTGAGGTTACAGCTGGCCCAATTCTTCCCCTCCCCAACCCCTAAATCTTCAAAGTCCTAATACCCAAAAGGTCAGCAACGCACTCGTAACTCGTCTGGTGTTGCGGGTGTCAAATGGCGGCGCTGATTGCTTTCCAAAAAAAAAAATAGATAGATTTGTAGTGAACGTAACAAAATTGGTCACATTGAAACATTAAAAGAAAAAGGTAGGTAGCTATCCTTTAAATCACTTCGGTACTATTAGATTAAAGAAAGCCGATCCAGCCATTTCTCCGATTTAATACACGTTATTTGACCCCGATTCTCGGTTAGTCTTGCGAAAATCTCTGTTCTATACATTTGTAGGTACCTTATAGGGGTCTTTGGTAGCGAAAACCGATAAAAACCATTATGATTTATCGTTCACAGGCTCTTAAAAGCCCCGATCGTATCGGAGGGTGCATTTTATTGTCGCAACTTTAAAAACGGATTGTGGTACTTTGTCAAGCGCGGTCGCATGGAAAAAGGGGACGGAATAAAATATGAAGAAAACATATAAGTACAAACATAACGTTAATGTAAGGAAAATAATTATTTTAGGTATTAAAATATGATATCGAACTTGGGCTTTCTTAATTAATTATTATGTTTTCGGCTTACTCACGTAATAATTTGACGAGATACTCGACTAGTTTCAAGCCATGCTAGAGGCATGCTAGAGTAGCAGCGCGACAGTCGCCGAGTCGCGTGTCGCGGAATGCTGCTCATGAATATGGGCCTCTAGTATGGCTTGAAACTAGTCGAGTATCTCGTCAAATTATTACGTGAGTAAGCTGAAAACATAATATTTAAATTGGACTTTCTTCTAAAATTTTGCTTCTACTGTGTAATAATTATAGGTATTCCTTGTGATTTGATTGAATGGGTTTTATAGTATATCTTTTTCATGTGTCGGGAAAATTATTTCATTAATTGACAGACTCTTCCGTCCCATTCCTTCACCTGCTCCAGCCTAAGGCTGCGGTAGGTACATAGGTACACATTATAACTTTGCTTTCTAGAATTGAACTTCGTTTTATTTGAATCCTCAAGCGGACACCGATGTCTTCTGTGACATCATCCCCTTGTTAATATACCATCACTTAAAGCCCACTGTTGATTTGACCGCATTATCCTCTCTTACCCACTCCACTAGATACCAAAATTTCAATACCCAGAGATCATATGACTGAACCTATAAACTTAAGACGATTAACTTAAAACTGAATTTAAGACGTTAAGGATCGACATGAAGAAGAGGGAGATTACAAAACAGAACAGCCTATAACTACCGAATTCAATCCACAATAAAGTCACGGAAAAGTCTTTGAAATATATCGAACAAACTTATTTTACGTCCAACTCTCCGTGTGTGCCGCAATGATATTGTTCAGGACCATTAAATCGCTAGAATGTTATAAAGCAAAGTTTTAGAACTTGCACAGACGAGACACTTTCTTGATTTAAATCCTACGAAAGGAAAAAAACATTCTGTTAATAAACCCAAAATGGTATAAAGCTATACTACCGTCCTATGTACCTCGGTCCTGGTCTAGAGCAGGAAAAGGAACGGGGTTATTTTAAACCAGCAAGATTCTGACATTCCCGTTCTCTCCGCCCAGGAAGGAGCAGTAATTTAATAATAGTAAGTCATATAAATAAGAATAAGTATTAAGTTAACAAAGTCACAAATCCGGTATATCCTCCATAGTAAACTAAAACGAAAAACGTATTAATTTTCATGCTAAGTTAATAT